AAAATAAAATAAAAAAAATCTTTAAATAAAAATTTAAAAAAAGATTGCATATTTCGTATACACGTACGCATTTTCAACCTCCTCATCACCGATTACTGCGCTTTCTTCAGCAGAATAAAGAAGATCTAAATTTCCGAATTTGCCGCCATAAATAAAAAATCCTTTATCATTATCTTGAACTTCATCAGATGGATTGGTCGCTGCAAAATATAGGCACAACATTTGATATGTTTTATACATATGTACATATATCAAAGATTAATTATTTTTACTGGTTTCACAATAATCTGCGAATTCTTGATGCATTTTGCCAAGTGCAGATGTCGGCGATATCTCTTTTACCAAAGACATGTAAATAATATGCTTATGCCTTATAACAATAATTGGCATTTCAGTAACAAAAAATGGTGCAGTTAAAATACGCATAAGAACATGACGGCGTGTGATCACTTTCAAGCGTTTATCGCCATTTCCATTGCTATTGTTGGTGTTGTAAATATCCTTTTCAATAACGAACTTTTCCAACATTCTCATGGAATTGACTTGAGAAATTCCATGTTCTTRTGTATGCTTTTTAGTATTTATACGTAGTGGGTAAGCTTTTATATTTGGTGCCTTGAAATATCTCAATGCTYGGTCTGGTCTATCGTCATGTTCCACTATCTGCCGAAAATTAAGTATAGTTACACCTTCTATATCGACAACTGGTGATTTTTGCAATGTTTCTTTATTAATTGTATACAATAACTTTTTTGCGGTCATATTTCTTAAAAAATATTATATCATATAATTACATATGAATGTGCGAAACTCACTAGACTTAAATTTGAGCATTGATGTACCGCTGTTTATGGGAAAATTGTATAATTTCCGGGAATTTCTATGAAAAGCACAATCTAAGATAGTTTTTTCACAATACATAGGTGGCGCATGGATTGGCAAGAGTTGCCATTCATATATTATATATACATTTAATATAATTGTTACGAGCCCTATGTTCAATTTATCAATATCATATTGGATCCGAAGAGGAGCAACTGTCAACAACTAAATAATTTCAAAATAATGTTAAAGGATTTGTGTTTAAACTTTTCAGGTTTTCAATAGTTTTTGTCTCTAGAGTCTAGTCTATGCAGCAGTCAAGTCATTAAAATTTTATTTGACTGCTCTCATACCTTTTTTGGCACAATTCCGATTTCTTTGGCGCCGCGATTTGAAGGTACCGTTGGAAAGAAGACGTTCTCCTGATTAAAAAATAGGAGATATTCGAGTAGCTATTTCACCA